GTTCGAGAGGCTCTTGGTCAAAAAGGGGAACACAGCTGTGACCCCAGAATACACAGATCATTGTTTGAAATCGGGGCAGAATAATCCCCCTAATCTGTGCAACGACTGAAGGGTTGTCTAACCCCTGAGGTTGAAGAAAGAAGAGCATAGGATCACCCGACTGGAAGACACTGGTGCCTACAGCAATAAAATAAAGGTTAAAAGCTCCTCGGACAGAGGTTCTAGTCTGAGTATGTTTGAAGGGTATAAGGTAGCACCGAAATAAAGCTGTGGGAGAACTGGGGAGTGATGGGAGTGTCATTTGTACCTACTATTGTTGTTGTATAGTATAGTTATAGTGTATAGTGTATAGTTTTTCTGGCATCTGAACTGTGCAAACACAGAGGTCATCTCACATATGGTTCACCCAAAAGGGGGACAAAGGGCTTCAGGGGTAAGAAGAAATGAACCCGGCAACACTGGATTGCAGGGTGTAAGTGAGCTCTTTAAGTTTAAAGAGCTCAACAGGGGGGATGTTGGGTTATAATATTATTTTATTTCTTTTTGTGTCAGAGAAAGAATGTGAATGTTTAGGCTTTTATGATTAGGTGGGGGCCACTAGAGGCTATAAGAGTTTGATCGAGGCTCCACCATTTTGAGATCTGATGCTGTCTGCTGTCTGGTGTCCATCTCCCACGCGTGTGTTCAATAAATCATCGTTTGACTTGACCCGGCCGGACCAGTGTTGTTATTTTGGTTTTTCCTCTTGTATCCATCCCCAATATTTGAATCCGTAACACGACCCTATCTAAATCCCAGTAACGGTTAATGCGTTGCTGACTTTGGCATAATAACTAGTTACCGTGCTCGTTACCACAATAATAACGTAGTTACTGTAACACATTACTTAATAACGCGTTAGTCCCTACACTGCTTATTACTCACCAGACTATGTTGTCGCCGCTGTTTTTTTTTTAAACTTACCTCCAACAAGAAAGCCTCATTTCTGCTGTTCAATACTGAACAAATTTAAACTTTTTAAAATTATGCAAATTTGCAAAATGCTTAGCTGTGTCTCTAATCAAACCTCTGTAACTTTGCTTTGCTTCATGTATACATTGAGTGCTAGCAGGAGGGGCTATACGCTTACCTGCTGCTCTCTGGCAGGTAGATCCATGCCCTCCTGGGTTTTAAAGGCACCTTAGAACACACATGCATCAACACTACATATGAGCGAGCGGAGGGAGGTTTGGAGTCTTCACACACCCCCGTTCTCTGCGGCCTGCTGGAGCGGGGGGGCTAGGAGAAGGAGTTGGCCGTCTGACTGGGGTTTGGAATGTGGGGCCTCCCTGCTGCTGCGGAGTCGGAGCGGTCTGTTTCTCTCCACCCCAGGGAAAAGGGTAACACCACCTGGGTCTGGGTGCAGTTTCCCCCTCCAGGGGCA